CATCAGTGGAAACAAAGAGAATTTTCTTGTACTTTGCAAAAAAGAATGCCGATAGAAAACCTGATTTTTGGTGTTTTTTTTATCCTTCATAGGGGTTTTATGATCTGTATAATTAGTATTTCAAAAATCACTTTTGGCCCTGAGCAAATGTCTATCACATTAAATCATAGAGAAACATTGATGTACAGAGTGTGGAAACGAGTAAATTATTTTACTGTCCTTGTTTAACACTGTGAGAAACCACAGCACAACCTCTCAACGTACCTTATATTTCTCCACAACTCTCGTATTTTGGCTCCTGTCACTGTCATGAGAGAGATTTTTTATGTGTATTAATTACTTGATCCTGGCTTAGGCTGCCTGCATCGCTGTTGCTTTAATTGGACCAACTGGGCTTTTCAAACCTTAATATGATCTTATAATATATGCCACTCGGTGAGCACTTTCATCCCAGGCGCACATTTTTACTGTGTTGGCCCCAGTTGGAATTGGACTCACTAACTTTGGCAGTGTGACTGTGAATCTGTATGCACCGAGCTCCAGCATGTTGTATCAACACATTACTCTCTAAGGGCTCGTGAATACAACACAATTCACTATTAAAAATGCTCCTAAAACATCATCTCAGCTTGCAACATATTTGTCCTTTGAATAATTGAATTTGAATCTATATAATCAGTGCAGATTGCATGTAAAGTTATGTTTCTCATTTCCTAAACACATGTTAATGGTTGAATAACTTAAGGTTTAAACAGTTGAGCGTTATACCCTCATCTCTTTTTCTTTTTGATCCTTCCCTGGAGCAGAAACATCCCGCAGGCTGTCGGTCTCAGGTTTCTGTGTTTGTGTGTTCGTGTGTGCGTGCAAGCGTGCAAGCGTGTGTGCCCTTCTAATATACAGCTGTGTGTACTGAGCAGACACACACATAGGACTGGATGGTTAGTTGAATGAACGGAGGTAACGTGGAGGTTAGTTTCTGAGGAAATGGCAGGGATGTGTGGATGCAAGGACAGATGAATAAAAAGGACGGATAAGTGGATGAAAGGTAGTGATGGTCTCATCTTGAGACCTGCTGTGGTTGAAGTATCTGTCCTGGAAGATAAAATGGGGAAGAGAGGAGAGACACAGAAGCAGATACTGATGTAACCTCTGTGAGGGACTCAGTGTTACTACAAAATGACGTGCAGTTCAACGTAAATCAATTTTTATCTGGTATCTGCTAAGTGCTTTATCACTATAACAGACTGGAGACAACACGTAATAGCATGTTTTTCTTTTCGTCGTACACCCAGATGCTAAGGTCAGACATTTCAGATCACCTTGCAAAGCAGTTAGAAATGTTAGAAAGCTGGAAAAACACTTGAGAAAAATTTTAACTGATTTGTTGATAAAATAAACTAATGGGGATGAAGAAAAGTTAAAACTGGTGACACCAGACTTGCAAATATTTTTCATTTTCTGTCGACTGTATTCACTCCAAGACTTTTGAAAAAACACATTTCTTAATCTGAAATAAATAATAAATGTTGTCCCTGAATAAAATTAAAATCAAAAACACAAAATTGTCCAGAAACGACAGAGATGTGGAAATCAGGAGGAAAACGTTTGTGTGGCGTACATAGTATAACACTGCCCCCTGCTGGTAATGTTTGGAAGTGCATCTAAGAAAAGCAGGAAAGAACCATGTTCTATGGATGGAAAATCAGGCGCGTGCTCACAGAAGAGCCTGAGTGTGTGAGCCTGGTGACATGCAGGGATTACTTTAATGTTTCAGAGATTCTGTACTACATATTTTCATCATCATATTTTCATTCCTATAGGTCAGTACCCCCCCCCCCCACCCTTCTGGCTTGAAACCCCTACAAATAAATGTACACACTTGTCACATGTGATGGTCGACATCAGTTTTAATCACACAGTAATTTGTCTTTCTCCAATTGGATATTGTAAATTAAATGTAATGTTAAGAGAACCAACAATGACATCACTCACATTGTACTGTATTTTACCAGGACTATAGAATTCTCAACAACAATGTAGTAAACCTTTTTACTATTGTTCCTATTGTAGTATGTGGTGTAGTTTTTAACACTGCAGGTGGCACAACAGCTGGCAAGGGGACTGCAAATGCAAAATGGCCTTTTCATAAAATTTGTATTGTATGAATCCTAATTAATGTAACTTGTTATTTTTCAAATAATGAATGATTCAAAACATATCTGGATTTTATGACCAAGAATATATATATATGTTTTAAAAATTTGACAGTGTACTTCTAGGACAAAGTTACAGTGGTGCAATTACAACATTTTAAAAGACTTTCTATTCTACCGTGACAGATGGATAGTGAGATAGAGAGATGGAGAGAGAGAGAGGGATGGATGGATGGATAGATCCCAAACTGGGAAATTCCTGATTATTTCTATGTATATAAAATATCTGCTTTTGTGTGATTTTGAACTGATGTCTGAAGATGAAACCACAAACACAGAGCAGAATCAGATGTGTTTACTTTATCAAACACTTGATTAACTGTTTAATACATTAGAACATCAGAATGAGCTTCATCTGCTTTGTCAAAAACAGACCGACAAGCGTCTTAGAATCGATTTCAAACCAACATTCAAACTCTGATAGCGGAGAAAAAAGAAAGAAACACACAGCCGTGCCTGATGTTTGAGCCGTCACTCCAACCTCATGATGTGAACATAAAGAAAAAGATCCCTGTAGTTGAATGAGATGAGTAAAACTGACAACACATCGAAGAGGAGGGTGATGAAATACAATCTGTCACCATTGCTTTTGAAACCAGTATCATTTAAAAGTTGGTGTCCGTAAAACACCGATTGTCAATAGATCACCTGATACAGTTGTTTGAATACACAAAGTCAGAGAAAACCGAGCTGGGAACAGAGCAAGAGATGAGACGACAACCAACTGTGATTAGCAGCAAAAACGCAAGATCTTAAGGCAAATGTTGAACAGTCTGTGAACCCGTTTCAGCCAAACACAACCACACAGAGCTCATTCGACAATCCACAATAACACACAAGATGCATTTCTAGACAGCGTGAAGGGGAAGTTCGTCACTCCTGCATCACTCGGACCTCTGTCCCCTTCACAAGCTGCCGTCAGAAAATCATGCAACATTCTCCATCTCCTCTCTGAGAATCAACAAACCCGTTACCCAGACCATTTTCCACAAACAGAAACTGAAAATTACAAACTGCAGCCGGGTGAGTTTTTAATGAGAGAAAAGCTGAGTCCCTGCTGAGTGTAGATATGAACTGTTTAAAGTCTGATGACATCGCTGCAGTGGGTTAATGAAGAATCACTAATGTCTGCAGTTAGGGGGTAAGAAGTGATTTTAACTTGCTGAAAAAGTCTGAAAGAAGCATATTGAAATCTCTGCATCCAGGGTCCCTGACATCTGCTCCTCAAAAGCAGCAAAACCCTGCGGAGAAAATACCAGCTTTACACGGAATAAAAAACAGAGCATTTTATGGCATCGTCCAACAACAAGTAAATCAAAAGGTCTTGTATGTTATCAATCAGAGAATATCATCAGCCTCTGAGAAGATTTCAAATATTACATTTTATTTATTGAGTTTAGGAAGTTGTGTTCAGTTTTCTTCCTGCTGTAACCTGGACAACGGCACAGAGAGCATGTGGAACCAGAGACTTCTAAAAAGGCCCAAATGGTCCTTACTTCTGAAATGATTTGTCCAATAATACATTCCTACAAGTCGCTATAGACTGAAGAGGTGCTTTGGATTAGGAGCTAACGCTACATGAGCACAGATTTACAGGAATCATGCATTTCCCTGCTCGTGACACCGACGCACACAGAGAAAACACCAGTGGCGTGTCCGCTGAATAAGTCACTGTGGACACGATAAGAGGCAGTGTGACGTGACAAGTTCAACTGTTTGGCAATGAAGACGCCCATATATGTTCACCTTGAATAGAAACTCTCAGTATACAGCATTTACCTTTTTCTGAAATGATCTCAATGCAGGACTAAACTAAGCACAAATCCAGTGAGGCAGGCGCAGTTAGGTGTTTACTCAGCTTTACAGACACAGACTGTATGAGCATCACTTATTCATGCTCCTCTTTTTATCACTATACAGTTTCAAATATCTTTTCATGATAAACACATTATAGCACAGTAATGTATTTAACACAGTAAATAGTATACAGTTAATTTCTGATGTACAATAGCATTTGTGTGAACCTCAAATCTTCTTCAAACCAGTGAACCTTCATTTAACTCAGGATCTAGACTTCTTCTAGAGTTCTCTTTAAATGTTTGTTCAAACCAAATTCCAAATAAGTAAAATTATTCATGATTACAGTTGCATTAAGACAAACACGTTTATTTGTGCATGTTTTCTGCTGCCATGTTGGAGATAACTTAAATTTTGGTTGTGATCTGACAGAAGAGAGAATTATCAGAGTCTGATATTCTTCAGACTGTGTCATCACCAGGTTTCTGATTCTGAGGGGGTTTGATATTTCCTCTGACCTGTCTGAATGGTCGGACATCACTACAGAAGCACGCGAGCAAATTTGTTTTTTTGTGATTTGCTGGAAATGACCCTTGTTGCTTGATTCAAGGCGGCAAAAACATATCAGACACACAAGCGCTATATTTCACATACACTGACTATTTCCATTACCTAAACACTACCCTTAAAAAACTTGTGTTTAGATGTTTAGATTTTACTGCACAGTTTCCTCACACAGATGATGAAGGAGAACAGGATTTGGGAACGAGCAGGAGACTATAATTTCTTATTAGTTTCATATTAGGAAGTCAGATTGTATATAAGAAGGTTTATGTACAGATACATATTCAAAATCTAAACGTTATTCCAAAAAAGAAAAGCTTCTGTCACCTAAGTGCTTTAGTCAATTACCTCAAATGTTTAAAGTTTATAATGCTCATTAGAGATGTAACCAAAATGTTCCCTGAGGGGATTTTCCATGTTAAGAAAATGAAATAATCAGATGAAGCCACATCACTGCATCGTGATTGGACCAATAACTGAGGTATAGTGCCCTCACTTAAGATAAAATAATCATTTTTTGTATTTCGCTGTTAATTTTAAAATAAAAAATTACTTTTATTACATAAGTGAAGTAATGGTTGACATTAAGGTTCTGTCTTTTATCAAGGTATGAAATTTCTGAGGTTTCTATCTTGGTTATAGTCTGAATTGTTATACGCTCATAAAGTCATTCTACTCTTTAATATTCATCAAAGGTCAAAGAACATATACTGTAAATACATCTATAATCAAAAGGTCAATCAATTCTATTGTATGTGATGATTTTACCGTAAAGTTAAAGTTTTCCAGGAAAGCTGGTTGGCACACCATGGCTCCAATAACAGGATTTATTTGCAATCGCCACTGGTGTGTTTTATTTTTAATTTTCTAAACAAAAATGAAACATTCCTTAGAAATATTTCCAAAAGGTATTTTAGAGCAGAGAGCCTCTCAGCAGGAAATATACCAAAAACAATGTTAACTCTTAAACAAGCTCTTACAAATCACTATGAAAGTTTAAGGTCTGTATATAAGGAAATGAATCCTTAAACAAACAATTCGATTCAAGATATTCTCATCACATCAATGAGGCTTCATCCCGTAAACACAATTTCCTGTAAAGCAGGGTTTCTTCTTTTGTTTGTGCATAAAGCCAATGTACGTTGTGCCTGTTTATGTCTCATGCAGATTATCACTGCATTTGTTTTTATGTACAACATCAAATTAGCAAGTGTTCAGAATTAACCTCGCCTTCACTGTCATTGTCAATTTGTCTGTGGGGTCTTCACACGACAAGGGTAAAAAATTATTTTTTTCGTTTTAAAATTGTGATTCACGGGTAAAAAAAAAAATACTATTACACCGCAAAACCTAAGATTTGTGATTTACTGGATGAAGATCCAGTAAATGTGCTCTCTCTGTGTCTGCCTTTTCATCCCAGCAGAGGGCGACGTTGTTCCATCAGGAGGTTCAGTCCATGGTTAGAAACTAAGTGGAGGAGAGGTCACTCAAGGAGTCAACATGAAATCTTCTTCCTTATTGTTACTGTTTCTGCTTTTACTTGTTCATCACAAGATTCTAATGACCACAATCTGTGTTTCACATCCTCTGACATGTCCAGCAACGGATCAGTGATTCAGTTCGGTGTTGAAATCGCAAACAAAATAAGGAAATTGACGTTTTCCTTCTTCACACATCAAGTCACGATGAATCAGCTGGATCAACGTCTGCAGAGGTGGCGGTTCCAGCACTTTCCCTCTGTAGTGCACATGCCCCTAAATTCAAAGTAAAAACTAGAACAACTTGTATGATTGACCCGCAGGTTGAATCATTTACTTGACATGAACACCCACATTGTTGACACGTTTCTCCGTCGTCCACCTTGTCCAAACACCGGTGGGTGCGTTTCAAGTCACCTAAGGTTCTTTGTGTCTGTGAGGTTTTGAGGTCAAGTCTTAAACCTTTTTTGTCCCCACCTTATTATCACACCGATCTTCTATGAGACTTTCTCTCATAGCTCTTCTCAAACTTATACCTCCTCCATCACCTCCATGACGATTGTCCTGGGTCCGGTCAGGATCAGGTTGCTGACGGTCCGGTAGTCGTGAGAGAGGACGTTCAGACCGTTCACCGACACCACGAACTGACACACCTGGAGTAAGATGGGCAGAAAGGGGAGTGGTGATCAATGTTTTGGCTGTAATACTGTCAAACATCAGGCCAATCACAGCAGACAAAGTATCAAGAACTAGAAAGGCACTTAATGGGGCGCGTACCACCACTGAGGCCCAACAGTCACATTCAATTCAAATATCACACCTCTAAAATTTCCATCAAGATACATGAATTATTCACTAATAAATTAACGATTAGTATTTGACACTTGAGTTATAAATAGTTTGTTTTGTTGGAATATACCTTTAAGGAATATCAAGAGGAAGAGGGAGGAAAGAGAGGAGGCGGCAGTGAGCTGTGAGAGAAACTTCAACACAGTCAAAGCTCCGACATAAACACTGATAACTTGACATGAAGTGGTGAATGTGACTGAATGACACCAGGCACAACACAACGATCATGCTCCGGTCACTCTCCCGTCACGCCTGCAGGGGCCCCGCCTCCCTTATCGCCATTTAACCACCGCTCCAACTCAGCAGCTCCGATAAAAATAAGACTTGTTGCCCTCCAGCTATTGCAACATGATGCTGCTGTTTTTACTGCCGCTGTTGTGGTTTGTGTGTTTTCTATTTTATGGAAGCTATTATAGGCTCACAGACATACACACACACACACACACAGCTTTTATGCAGATAAAAGCATCATGCATGGTGAAGAGCACATTAATATGTTGCCTGTAAATCAATAAGTGCAGAAGGAAGAGAAACTTAAACATTTTAAGTTCCATGTGCATTTAATCATCTTACATATAATCACTGGTGACTATTTTTCCTTGTTTTTTTAACATCAATTTCCGTCTCTCCTCAATGGTTCAGGAAAGGAGGGATCAAAATAGGCAGAGGGAATAAGTGGAAAGACAGATTAAGAGTGATAGAGGGAAGGAGAAAGGGAAAAAAAGTCCAGACTGTTAATCCTGTGCTGCAGAGGAATTTCAGCCTCTCACTGTAATCACATCTAAACCTCTGCTGATACATCACACTGCTTCACATACGTCAAAAAGACTGTCCGTCATGCCCTCGCTTTTTCTCTACTGCGATTCATTTCTCTCTCTCTCTCTCTCTCGGTTCTACCTTTCCTTTCAAGCTGCTAAACTCCCTCTTGACACCCTCCCCCTCTTTCTCTCCCACTGATGCGTCTCTTCTTTCAGGCGGTGGGGTTGTTGCTCTTGGCTGGGGCCCAGCTGGACTGAATGGCTCCTCGCACTCAGAGGGTTAAAAATAAAAAAGATCTCTCCCACACGGAGAAAGGAAAGGAGCGAGAAACCAACATAGAGAGAGGACATGGAGGGACAATAAACATTCACATGTGCCGAGGCCACGCAGAGACACTCGACGGACATGCAGTGATGACTGTGAGCTGTAATGTAGACGTTGGTCGAGCTTTAAAAACCCTCCGAGGCTGTGCTTGAGAACATTCCCCTTGAGGAACCACATGCTGGAAGGTTCCCAGCTTCATTTGGTGCTTAAAGAAAATAGTTTGAAAATTTGTACGTGCATTTGTTTTGTAGCTGAGAATGAAATAAGAAAGTCGATGTCACAGATCGTGTCTACTTGTTAAGTCAGGAGATGGTAGCTTAGCTTTGCTTTGCATGAAGATTGGAAACAGCAGGAAATAGTTTCCCTGCCTCTTTCCAAAGGTAAGTGGGCAAAATACCAGGCTCAGTGGAGATGCAGGCTTCAGTGTTTTCAGTGTGGTTCAACTTTCACATTTAAGAGTAAAATGGATTCATAAAACTGGACATTGTAGGGTTTAATCTGAGGGTAGCCAAACAGTTACAGGAGCAGAGGGGGCAGTATTTAATGTTGCATGGTCATATTTATTCAGATTTACATTTGTATTTGTATATTCTATTTACATTTGCCTTGTGTTTACATTCTTATCTCCAGTAAATACGTGAAAAATATATATATTTTTTTTTTGGGGGTGAATCCACACCCTGCCTGTTTGGTGTCGAGCTCGCTAATTAACTCACTGTATCTTGTTTGTTTAATGTGACAGACATTTAAAAAAAGACAGAGAACGGTATTTTTTTTGGGCCAGGAGCAGCGACTTCCTGGAGTCCACTGGTTGCCTGGCAACTTCTCAGAGAGGACAAGGAGCATCTCAGCAAGGAAGTTATTTTGTGCAGTCTAGACGGGTCATAATTGTGTTTTCAGCAAAATCAATATAATCAAAGAAGGAATTAAAGGTCCTGAATGTAAACGATATTACAAAAAAATTCCTGGTTTGTCTGAACTTGAAATCTTTTGAACTTGAAATCTTCTAATCTTTAAATGTCCAAAATCATTTAAATCGAGAAAGGGACTGATAATTACATTGACATGGTGCAAACATTCACAGTACAGAACGCACAAATGGACACAAAGTGAGACAAACGCACACACCCTGCTCTACCGGCTGCCTTGTGAAAGGGCATTAGAAGTGGTTCTAAGAGCGGTGTATTAGACAGTTACATAAGTGCTGGAATCCATTATGTTCAGACAATGCTGATGTATGTGTCTGTGTGTAGCGGGGGGGGGCTGAGTGTTTGATGAGAAACGAGAGGAGCCTGGTGATGCTACCAGCCCTCTGAGTTCAGCGGGTGTAACCGGCTTCTTTCTTGGCCTGTTGCATGGACTGTGGTGCCAAGAGGCATTTCCCCAACTGAGATGTTTACTGCTTAATTACACGTAAATCAAAGTCGTCAGGTGAGAACAAGACTCACGTTGTAGGAGCTGCAGGCAGTGAAATGAACCTGCACACACTGCTACATGCTTACAGTTTAATCTGGAATAATGATGATGATACGTCAAACCCAGTCCTCTGGTTCCTGCTTATTTCTCTTTTTAACAGCCCTCATGCTTATATATTTTGGTCTGCACATAAAGATAATGTTACATCTTACTCTAAAAAAAACAAACAACACCATTAAATTGAAATGAACTGTTGTATGATGTCCTCATGGTAAACACATACACAGGTCACACAGTGCGAGACAGTTAATTGCACACACTAAGACATAAACACACACTTTACGAGGGTGCACGCTTTTATAACTGACTGTGACTCAGGAAAGGTGTTTCCATGGTAAAAAAAAAAAACGGTTAACAGTAACCAGGGCAGAAGTGATATTATTTCTGACTGTTTCCTCTTTCAGTGCTAATACTGGAGCTCTGCCTCCTCCTCCTCCTCCTCCTCCACTCTTCACTCCTCAGCTAATGTGTCTTCTCTCTGACCTAACTCTGAGGTTCACATCCTCTCTATTTCCTCTTTGTTCGAGAGCGAGGTCTTTTAGGACTCAATGATTTCACATTCACGACTGTTTGCTGTCCTGGCTCCTAAATGGTGGAACGAGCTCTCCATTTACATGAGGACAGCAGAAAGTCTACACATCTTCTGCCGCGGACTAAAGACACATCTCTCCCAACTACACCTTGGATAAAAATAAATAAATAAATAAAATAATTGGTGCACTTAGATGGCACTTACATGTAGCACTTTGTTCTCTACTTGATCCTTGTTGTTCTGGGTTTGTACCCTCGTGGTTGAATGCACTTATTGTGAGTCGCTTTGGATTAAATCGTCAGCTAAATGAAATGCAATGTAACATTCATATTTTGTAAAGCTTCTACACAAACCCCTGCACTTGCACTCAAATAACCCCTACCTGTGCTTACATTTGCTCTGCTTGTGCTCACACTTGCACTCAGATATTAAGTGGGTATCAGATATTAAGCTGCAGCTTCAGCTCCTCTCGTGCTCACGCTGCTTCTGTGTGCCCACTCTCAAATTTCTCCTCTGCTCGTGGATTGTTTTTGTGCAACAAGTCTGTGGAAATTGCCCAACCAATAGAAATTAAGGTGTAGTGGGGACAAAATTGTCCTGCCATTGTTGAGAGAAATCTAAGCACAAGCAGGGGCTATTTAAGTACAAGCGCAGGGTTTTGAGTGAAAGTATTACAATATCTAAACATGAAATCATCAAGTCCTGCTCTCAAACTGAAAAACCACGCTCTTGAATAAACAGGGGATAAAAAAAATACCTTTCAAAATGTGATTTTGACATTGTCATATAGAGAAGACAGCAGCATCTTTGCAGTATTTTTCAGCTTGAGCTTAATAATTACACACTGTGTTTCGAAAACGTTTAAGCACCTTGTAATTCCCTTTCTAAACTCAAAGACAAAGTCATTGGAGACACGTATCATAGATTATTATCCTGAAAGCCATTTTAAATGCCCGAGGAAAGCATCCAGCAGCACTAAACAATGCTTTAATGATCAATTAAACACAGTCAGCTGTTTATGTGCTTCTGATTTTCCCCTCTATGTCACATGCTTCTTTGCTCCTCTTCCTGGCTCCTGCTGCTCCTTTCATTCAGTCCCTGCTCTCTCCTCCCTCTCTATGTTGTGGTTAAAGTCGCTACGCTCTGCATTCCCAGGATTCCTTGCTCCAACTCTCCTTTCATACCTTAATGCCAGCTGTGGCAGCAAAACCACAGTTTCCCTGTTTTCTTCCTTCCTGACTTATTTCCCCTTCTGACTTCTCACTTTTTGTGCTTTTACAGCTTCTCTCATGCAGCTTTTCATCAAGTTGTCTTGGGGACATATAGACATGTTTTTGAAGAGCAGATAATGACTAGTTTAAGAGGGTATGGTGGAAGAACATGCACATACCAGACGAAAACCCCTACAGTGAAATGAAAATGAGGAATTTCCCATTCAATGCACACATGCATCTTTGCAGCCAAGACACCAACCAAAAAATAGGATCTCCACCTATTATATGATCTATATCCGTCCTTCTTCTTAACTTCAAGCTATATCACCAACCCTCCTTTCTTTTGTTCATTCCTTTATCACATAGATGAACGGATGGGAGCTCGGTGAGTTTCAAACAGCCTCTATGATTCTCTCACTGTGTTACCTTCATGCCAGCTGCAGCTGCAGGTCCACCAGGGTCCACTGCCTGGATGTGACAGGGTTTGCTGCCTCGCACCACAAAGCCCCAGCCCACAGCATCGCCTACAATCTGAGGAGCAATAAGAACACAGTGAAATGACGTGTTACTGTATTTAATGTGTGCGTGTGTGTGTATGTGCATGTGTCTGTCCTACTGTGAATGTCTTCTTTAGAAAACGTCCTCCTGGCGTCTGCAGTTCCTCCGGACTCACTTGTCTCTTCAGAACTGTTGGGAAAAGAGCGCGCGCACACACACACACACACACACACACAGGTTGCATTAGTGGCAAGAAATGCATGACCGATGTGTGTATCAGGGCTGTCAATTTCTATTCACGATTTAAACAATCACTTGAATGTGGAGGGTGAATTCACATTGTAACTAGAAAAACCTGTTCAAAAACAAACTATAGAGTGGAGAAATGTATCAGACAGTCTGAAAATGTTAGACGTGAAATTGATACGACATAATCTGACAAGACCACATATATAACATATGTAGGCAGGTAGACACATGGTTACAGCACATATTTAAACACAAAGATAATATTGTTGTATGTCTGTGTGTATGTGTGGGTCTGTGTTTGTGTGTAGAAGTTGCACATGCTAAAGGGCCTGGGGGCTTGCTGCTTCCTGAAAAATATAACTCCCCCTCCCCTCCTCCAACTTCCAATAACCATAACTCACTTCATTATGACCCAACACGGGATTTCCCTGGAAGTGTGCCTCTTCAAAATAACTCATGTTTACTTTCTCTCTAGAACATGTGAAATGGAAATGAAAAATGAATCCATATTTCTGTATGTACCATTTGTTATCAATATTTTTAAAACAGTGTCTAGGTCATTAATAAATTAAAACAGGAACTCAGAAGTACAAAAAAAAGCTCATGACGACGATCATTTATTTCTCTTTGATGAAAGAAAATAATATGAAATAGTAGACTTTGTCCTTCAGGGTGGTTCCTCCTGGCTGTATGCCTGTCAGGTCAAGGTCAGGGTAAATGCACACATAGCTTTTATGTGTCATTGCTGATAAGCATCATGTTGTGACTGACAAGAAAAGTAAATGTGGGCACCTTACAAACTGAAATGGACAAACAACTATGATTTTTAAGTAAAAGACAAGTGTGCCTAGTTTACAGGTCACAGTGAGGAAAAAGGACAAACTCAGCATCAGTACAGCTGTGAACATGCAGAGTAGCTGGATGAGTTGTGAGGACAGATGCTATTGGATGAAGTTAATACTCTGCAGCAGAGTTTGATGTCCAACAAGCACATTCTGACTGAGACCATGTTGAATCATAGATTATATAAAGATGGACAACGTTACAGCTCTCTAAAAGTGAGGCCAAAGTCCCTCAGTTGCCTCCCTGTGTCTGGCTTCAGTATAGGTCATAAATCCTGCCTCCTCCAAGTTAGTGGATGGGACATAGACCAAAGTAAAAAGTCAAAGTACATATAAAGTTGTTTTCTGTCATTTTTGGTATACTTCTTATCATCTTATATATCTTATATCATCATTCTTTTAAATAGTTATATGCTCTATATAAACATGATGAAAAGTCATGAGTGATGGCTGAGACTGACTCCTGCTTGGCTGAGTGCTTGAGTTGGCGGGGCCTTGATACCGTGGCACCATACCTGGATCGTGACAGAGCAGGCTCTGACTCCAAATGCGCAAGATGGCAGCGTTCATACCCGAGGAAGCTTAGATGCGTCACCCATTTTTAAAAACAGTGAACGACCAGATTTGTGATGAATAAACTAAAGACCTCATTCAGTGGGAGTATTTGTGAAGGAGCCTTGTTTAACCTTAAAATGCTAGAAAGGCCTAAATTGGATTCAAACCTAAGGACACAGCCTTTATAAAAGCCTATGGCCTCAGTTTATGTCCTCAATGAACCACTTGTGGTCTGTGTAGTACTTAATTCTGATCTGATAAAAGAAAGTGATATGAAATAAACAAATTATTTTGATCTGGGCATATTTCTTAATGTCCTTGTGGAAATACTGATCTGATGATATACACCACATGTTTATTACCTTATCTGCCACTTTGACCTCATATCAAAAGCCAACATCTTATTTTTAAACATTTTATATATTCAAACCAGATATAACATGAGATACAAAGCTCCTCATTCATTGGGAAACCTTTGTACTGATTAATGTGAATGCTTCTTATTTTTGGAATCCTAAGTAGTAAGTACTAAGGTTAATACGAAGCAGAGGGGAAGTGTGTGTGTGTGTGTGTGCACATGTGAGTGTGTTCAAATTGGAGTGTGCCTTCCTTTTCCTGTTCATTGTGTATGGTGTGTGTGTG